ATTATTATTATTATTATTATTAATATTATTGTTGTAATCGGTATCATGTCCTTTACGATTACTTTCCATTTTATGTATACACTGTATGTAGGTATACACATGTTTATCGTGTACTTTGCCATTTTTATGTATTCATTACTAGCAGGGCTTACTTTTTAATTTATTTTCGTAATCTTAAGTCGCCGTATAGATGCTTATAGCCACCTGCAGTTTATTCACTATAATTATCTCACTTTTGTTTATATTAACTTGCTTGTATAGTCTCGATGATACCCTTTGTTATTATAATTAAGTCATGCTGGTTTGTTGATAAACTACAGTAATAGAATGTTTGGACAATTGACCTATTAGTAGGTCCATGCTCGGACTAATCATGGAGGAATTACTGTAGTTTCTAAACTAACTAATAAATCTTAACTGTTGGAATGAAGAACCAAAAAGCATTATTTATCTATATTGTTCATTTGTTAGACCTCATATCGAATTTATTTCTCTTATATTTAAATGCATGTCTAGTATTAGTAAATGCTACTAAAGTAAATATGTATATTTTTTTTAATTTCAATTTGCCTTCAACAGCGGATGACCCGCCATTGTCAGAATGGAAACAAAAACATTGATACAAACTTACTCTAGTATGTGATAGGCCTACAGATTTTACCTTTATACTCCAAGTATCAAAAAATATCTATGGAGGAATCTATTAATTAACCAATTTTTATAACATTGACTCTCATATATACCCCTTCCACTTCTATCATTCTTCCTACTTTAAGTTAAAGACTAAATTATTTATTTACTTTTTAATAATTGCACTAATGTAGTGGGTGATTCTGATCTCATTTCCGTTTTTGGCTTAGGCCTAACAGTCAGAACATGTTTCCTTTAGGCCTAATGTTCACTGTTTTTCGATGTGCTACTAAATGTTGGTTTTATGTCCGATACCTAAATTATATATTGCGCTTGCTGGTAAAGATAATTCTATTTATATTATTAGATTCGTTTCGAACGTTAAACGTTAAATAAATTTATATAGGCATATTTAGATTTTTTTTACCCATTTTGTGTATAGTAATTGATTGTTGTTCTATATCTTTTATGTTATTAAGTGGCTCTCACTGTTGAATGAGGAATGAAATGCAATAAACTAAAATAAAAATTATATACCTTAAAACATCGAATTGGAGCCCGGCTATAGGCTTAATCGAGAAGGAGCGCATCTCGAATTCAAGCCCCCCCCCCTCTTCAATTTGCAGAATTAGCACCAAAGAGAAGTCCATCATTAAAAGAAATGGGCTTTTTTTCAATATAGCATAAGCGTCTCTTCGATTTAGTACAGTACAGCTAGGTACATAACCGTCCAGTACATGAATTTCAAAGAATCAAAATAATTGAAAACACGCTTGGTTTATACAGTAGTTTAGTTAATTTAATGCATATATATACATACATTCACACACACACACATATATATATATATATATATCTTTATATATATACATATAAATTAATAACATAGGTAAGCACGTGTGTTCAAAGTAAGATAGAAAAATATGGAGACGATGGTAAATGAAAATACAGACATCGAAGGTAGACTTAAGGAACACAAAAATATTTATTGTAAGTTTCACGTATATTTCGGTTGTTCCTACAACCTTCTTCAGCGTGTAAGAGAAGACATAATCAAATAGCTTAGACAGATCATCATGTTAAATACAAGAAAATAATGTAATAATCTGGTGGTACAATTACCACAATCAATAATGAATAATATCGCAAATTGGTATAAATTTATTCC